CATTCTACTATATATAGGTACTTAGGGGCATTCGGGTACATAAACCTGCGGTTGCAGGAGTCACGCTCTGCTGTTGGTGAAGTCAGACAGTCTGCAGCTTTGCTGTCGCCGCTGTGCTTGATCTACGGGTGAGGAGAAAACTCTGTGTAATCCTCGTGTGCCCTTAGCTGATGTAGGGGCCTTGATAACTAGAANNAAATAATGTAGGTAATTATTAGGGCCCCTATATTAGAACCAACATCAAAGCCAATATCTCTAATCATCCTGTGGATTTCTTATTTTCATAAAAAGGTAACTTCATAAACGGTAACATGAGCCAGCAATCGCTAAGGGCACTGTTAAAGATTCAGGGGCTTCAAGGAGGATTTAGGGTTTAGGTGCTAAGGCCCCTATATTTTAAGGTATATTCCTTATCTGAGGGGTATTCGGGTTCTCTGTGTTGAGGTATATCTGGGGACACTCGAAGCCTCCTAAAGTCGCAACCCGACAGGTCTAAATACCCAGGGCCTACTCAAAGTGTTGAATCCTGAAGGTCCATGTCCTCAACTCATATGTCCCTAACTCTAAGGGTCCAGGTACCTAATAATCATATACTCTCCCAAACAGTAACCTTCATAACTACTATCCGAAACCTAAGTACCTGATTATTGGGTCCTTTGGACCCTTAGGGTAAGGGTCCATGTGCCCAAATGGTATATACTTTGGCCTCAAAGTAGTCCCTATATAGGTACTTTGGGGCCAATGTATATACTATATGAGTACATGGACCCTGAGGGTATACTTTGGCCTAGACGCTTGTCTCCAATAAGTAAGCCACAGAAATAGAAGGTTAAACTTTTTATGACTAAGCTACAAGAACCCGAAAAGTTGAAAAAAAGGTTGGGTCCTGGGGAGCTTAGACACTAAAACCCTAAGGTTCCCTAAACCCCAGTGTCGGGGTGGGCCTCTCTGGCGAGTCTCCGTTCTCCGGCTTGCTGGTCTCGATCGGGCGGTCCTGACCTTGTTAGTTTAGGATTTAAGGCTTAGGGCTTAGGGTCACCTCCTAAACACACACACACACAAAATACACAAGTTCCTTGTTAGTATGGGTTTAAGGCTTAGGATTTAGGGTCAAACCCTAAGCACACCAAATACACAAGTTCCACATTTGCTGGCAAGCACTCAGAACCAGAAAGCCCCTCTGGGATCCACGCTCTGCCTTGCGATGAGGACGCTGTTCAGCATTTTCTGGCGCAGAAGTACCGCGATGGAGAGTGGAGATAAGAGGCACACACTACAGCAGGCGGTACCCTGAACCCTAAACCCTCAGCCCTGTTACGGTAATAAAACATCGTCTATAGGGGATGCCTCCTTCCGACGCAAGTATCGATCTTGACAGTCACGGTTGCGCTCACAAGGAGCGATAGTCTCCATCGTAGTTCCTTTTGGGTTTAGGGTTTAGGGTTTAGGGTGGCTACCCCAAAGGGTCCTAAGTACCTATATAGTCGAATGTAGGGTTTCTAGATTAGGAATTACTACTGTGATTGGGGGAAATATCCCCCATGACAGTACCTAGGACCCTTTGGGTACCTTATAGGATCCTACATGTACCAATATAACTGGTTAGACCCAAAAAGGGAACGACAATGGAGACTCTAGGTTGTGCAGAGTTCGCAGTGTGCGGCTTCACAGCTTTGGCTGACAGCAAAACCTTGGAGGCACACGTGATGTCTGCGATGACGTACAGTGCAAGAGTGTCTCTGGTGCGTCATGTGTAACTGCGCCGCACCGGCTGGTTTATAATGAAGGCGACTTTGTGGCGGAGGTGTGTGGGTGGGTGGCCGGCTCGTGCGCTGGCAGCCCGAACCCCTTCCAAACCTAAATGCCAACGTAGCCAAGACCTCGCGACCAAGGAACATGAAGCCAAAGCGCACTACCTGTCACTGCCTGTCTAAACCCCCTCTCCTCCGACTGTTCTGAACAGACTTCCATCACAAGCTAGATAAGACATAAGATCCCAAACTCTAAACCCTAAACTTGGCCCTGGACCCTACAAACCCTAACCCCCGATCCACCCAACAAAAACCCTACAAATCCTCAACCCTATAATGCCCAAACCCCATAAGACCCCAAACCCTGAAAGCTCCATAAACCCTATAAGCCCTACAAGCCCTAAGCCCTATAAACCCTCTAATCCCTACACCCTGAACCCTCCCTGATCTCTTTCCGCGCAGGTCCGGCCTTCTGCTCCGGCGCCAGGGCATCCATGATCTGCAGGGTGACACACCCTAAGGGTCCATGTACCCAAAACCCTAAACCCTAAACCCTAAACCCTAAACCCTAAACCCTAAACCGTAAACCCTAAACCCTAAACCCTAAGGGTCCATGTACCCAAATAGTGGCTCCTTTAAGGTACCTTTAAGGGCTCCTTTAAAGGTACCTTTAAAGGCTCCTTTAAAGGTACCTTTAAGGGCTCCTTTAAGGTACCTTTAAGGGCTCCTTTAAAGGGTCTATAGGGGCCTAAGGGTCCATGTGCCCAAATAGTGGCTAACCCTAAACCCTAAACCCTAAACCCTTAAGGGTCCATGTATCCAAATAGTGGCTAACCCTAAACCCTAAACCCTAAAACCTAAACGCTAAGGGTCCATGTATGGGTCCTTTTACTTTAAGGTTCCTCTAAGGGTTCCTGGAAAGGTCCTGTAAGAGTCTCGGGTTTAAGGGTCCATGTACCCAAATAGTGGCTCCTTTGAAGTTCCTTTAAGGGTTGCTTTAAGGGCTCTATAGGGGTCTCGGGTTTAAGGCATATACTTTGGCCCCAAAGTACCCATGTAGGTACTACTTTAAGGCCAAAGTATAATATACGAGTTGGGTACATGGACTCTCAGAGACAAGGAACACCGCAGCGTTTAGGCGCTGCTTAGGGGTGAGGGTATAGGCATAGGGGTTGAAGGAATTAGAAGAGTTTAGGGCCAGTTTAGGGGCTTCGGCCAACATGGAGGGCATCAAGCCCTTGGATCCAACATAGACTAGACGCCTTCTGAAGTGTCAATAATGTTTTGGGGTATATACAAACCTTACTTAGAATAAGGAACCCTCAAAATAGTATGCGTAATCATCTAAGCAAGGAAACCCATTTAAAATGCTAAGACCCCTGTTTTGAACCCTATTATAGCACAACCCTTAGATGAGGCCCCTTTATTAGGCTTTGTTTCGGTTGAGGGTATAGGGGTTTAAGGGCTCAGAAGAGGTTAGAGGCGTTCGGAGTTTAGGCTCCAGGGGTTTAGGATTTAGGGGTTTGGGGGTTTAGGGATTTGGGGTTTTTTGGGGTTTAGGTGTTTAGGGTTTCGGGGTTTATGGCTACGGAGTTTAGGCTCTAGGAGTTTAGGGTTTAGGGTTTAGAGGTTTAGAGTTTGGGGGTTAGGGTTTAGGGTTTATAATTAGGGGTTTGGGGTTTAGGGGTTTAGGGTTTAGGGTTTAGGGTTTAGGGTTTAGGACATGAATTCGGGGAACCATCACTAAACATTGGGTGGACCCTAACCTACCAACAAGCCGCTTGTGGCACACTTTGGCGTTTTTTGCGCTTAGGGCTTTCGGGAGCAAGCAAGCGAGCAAGCAAGGAATGCAGCTGCAGTCTTAGTAGTAGCGGCAGCAATAGTAGCCACAGCAGTTGCAGGCGGTTCTTTTCGAGACGTTTCGCTTTGATGTACCGGTTCGCAGCTTCGTAGAGGAAATCGTAAGATTTCTCTTTTGATCCATCCAACGCCCTTTCGTAAATGGCGATGTCGTGTGCGAGCGACTTGGACTTTTTCACCTGTCGGTGAAATAGAGGTTCAAGGACTTCGTTGCCGAGTATCTTCTTCATCCCACACAACACTGTATCCCAGTTCCTCACGAATTGGACGAGGTTATCATTGATAAGCACTATGTTGAGCAAGTCTTCCATGTCGTACACGGCCTCGTCGACAGCGACGACCGGGCAGCTGCTTCAGCAAGGCCAAAATTCAATTTGAAACCCATAAGCCTGAATGCCCTTAACCCTACGCTGAAACCACAACGGGTGCTCCTCAACTTGTATCTCCGAAAGAATGCATCTTAACACAGGGCCCCGAAGGGAAGACAAAACCAGCCCTAACCAGGACTCCTAGACCTCTAAACCCGAAACCCTAACACCCTCAATAAATCCCAAAAGCACTAAACCCCCCACAAAATCACAGAACTTCCCCCCAGTCTCATACCTAGCCTTGGCAACCTCCTCTTCTTGTTCGCCCTTCATCGCCTTGAGCTGCCGATAAACCTGCGCATTCCAGGACCCTCCGTCTACCCTTCAATCAGGGGTTCAGGGTTTGGGGTATGTAGGGGCCTTTAAAGGGTTCAGGGGCTCAGGGTTTAGGGTTTAGGACCCTCTTTGTACCCTCAAATCAGGGAATACGGTCCCAAATAATGGGTATATAAATAGAGCACAGTAGAAACTTCAGGGTCAGGGGTAGCGGCACTAAGAGGGTTAACCTTGTTGGGATGGTGCAGGGAATATAAACTCCCAGAGGTTCAAGGTAACCTACTCTACCACTCCATTCCTCGACACAAAAACTCGCCGCAAGGGCAGTTTAATTAAAAGTCAGAATAGCTTCCAGTATAGAGTGGCCCGAATGCTTAGCATAGGGTAGTAAGTCAGTGTGACCGGGCCGCTGCACTCCGAGGACCGGGTACGACAACGCGAAACTGAAAGGTTTTTCCAGATCAGCCCGGGGACCCTTTCCTTGCAGCAGAAGCCCAAGAGTTGGAAACCCAATACCCTAAACCCTAAACCCTAAACCCTCAACCCCTAAACGCCTCAATCCTTAAGGGTAATGCATAGGGAATGCCAGCATTTTAGATGTCCTTAATCCGGCTTCCAACTTTGGGGGGGCTTACTATGCAGCTACGATCCTTAGTATAAGGATCGCCCCTAAACCCTAAATGTCCCGGATCCTGATCCGGGCACCCTGCATCCTAATCCTAATTTTTTGAAATTCATCGTACAGTCTCTGCAGTCAAGTACCCTAAAGCCGGTGCCATGATCCTCCCGCCTCTTTTCACGGAAACAGAAGGGTAAAGGGTTTGGGGCTTTGGGGTTAGTGGGGTTAGGGAGGGGCTTAGGGAAGTATTGCTGATGATACAAATCCTGCATTACTTTAAGGACTCTAAACTATTGAAATTATGGAATATTCCATATTCTGGGTAATGCAGGATTTAAATCATCAACCGTAGGATTTAGGGATTTAGGTGTGATGTCTGATGCTGTTGCTTCAAGCCACTAAGGCTCCATGTGCCTATCTAGCATATACATGTATATGCTTAGGCCTTACAGGGGCTCCTATAATATAGGTACCTTAATTTGCATTAAAGCCCCTAAACCCACAACCTTAAACACTAAACCCTAAACCCTGACCCTAACTAAGTATATTGAACTCTATGCAAGTACCCTAAACCCTAAACCCTAAACCCTAAACCCCTAAACCCTAAACCCTCAACCCTAAACCCTAAACCCTAAACCCTAAACCCTGACCCTAACTAAGTATATTTAACTCTATGTAAGTACATGGAGCCTTTGGCTGGGTTGGGGCCTGGCCTTCACCACTCGCCGTCCCACCGGCGAGACATCCTGCGGAGAGGCGGAGCTTTAGGATTTAGGGCTCCGGGCTTAAGCACCGGGTTTCGGTTTAGGGTTTAGGGATTAGGGTTTAGGGTTTAGGGTTTAGGGTTTAGGGCTTAGGGTTTAGGGCTTAGGGTATAGGGCTCAGGGTTTAGGGTTTAGGGTATAGGGCTCAGGGTTTAGGGCTTAGGGTTTAGGGCTTAGGGTTTAGGGCTTAGGGCTTTGGGTTTAGGGGATTAGGGTTTAGGGTTTAAGGCTGAGGGCTTTGGGTTTAGGGTTTAGGGCTTTGGGTTTAGGGTATAGGGTTTAGGGATTTAGAGTTTAGGGTTCATACGGCTCATAAGGCTCATAGGGTTTAGGGTTTAGGGGTTTAGGGTTTAAGGTTTAGGGCTTAGGGTTTAGGGATATAAGGTTTAGTCACCGGTGTACTAAACCTTGAAAAATCACAATTTCAAAATCTACCAAACAGCTGGGAAGTTCTTCAATGCTGCAGGTACACCTCATAATAAGGACTCACCTATTGCCACTAAGGCTACTATACCTCGTTTTCTGAGACTTGCTGCAAAAGCGTCACAAAACCTACGCGCCCATGAAGCACTGCATCCCGAGAAGGAATAGCCAGAGGGTCCATATATGCTACCGGTATGAAATCGGGTCCCACAAGCCCATCCGTAGTATGGGTTTAGGGTTTAGGTGGTTGTCAGGGGCCTATTCCATAATGGCAGTCTATATTACATGGACCTTCTAGGTTAGCCTTCGTAGACACTCGCCCTAGCGGTCCAAGTACTGTAAGAAACCCTAAACCGAATTTCGATATTGGGTTTTGGGGCATATCATACTATAGATACCATATTTATAATGAGGAACCCCCGAAATAGTATAGGTCTTAGGTAATTACTAAGGCCCCCTGTATTAAGCCCATAATCGAGTTTCGAGATTGGCTGGAGCCTCGATGAAGAACTCGGACAAGCTGTCGTCTTCCTCGTCATCCTTGGCCCGACCTTGCCAGAGGAGTGGCACCCAAAAGCTGTCTACAAGTACCGACGATGATGATGATAATAATGATGATGATGGTGGTGGTGATGATGGTGATGGTGAGGGTGAGGGTGATGGTGGTGCATTCATTTATTAACTCATTCATTCACTCACTCGCCCATCCATCCACCAACTTGATGATTCAATTATGTAATTAATGGTTTCATTCTTTTAACTGTTTATACATCTGTTTTAACTAACAGGTGATAACATTTATACAGTCATACACCGATAGACACTGCTATACTGATATTGGCACCAGCCTGCGTATCTGCTAGCTTCCTCAGGGTCTCAAGGGCTTTCCTCACACACTCGCCCCTTCATGGCGTCTTTCCTCTTCATTCGAAGGCGAAGGGGCCCGACGCGGACACCCGGTTTAAAACAACCTAGATTACCTGGTTCAGGGTTTAGGGTTTATAACCCTAAACCCTAAACCCTAAATCCTAAACCCTAAGCCCTAAACCCTAAACTTGGGGTTAAGGGCTTATAGGGCTTTAGAGTCTACGGGGTCAGGGCTTGTCTGAAGCTTGGGAACCTCGAGTTCCTAAACCCTAAGCCTCTCTTCTTCAACAACCAGGCCCAAAAAAGTTCAAACTGTTTAGGATAGACATAATATATATAAAGCCAGGGTTTAGGGTTTAGGGTTTAGGGTTTAGGGTTTAGGATAGACATAATATTTAAAGCCGAAAAGTTTAAAGTTCTCCCATTGGCTATCTAAGAAGCTCCAAACTAAGCACTCTCAGATCTGACCCCGTGATTACCGCCTGTCCGGCTTCAGGACAACTCGCGGACCAAGAGCTGTGACACCGTGGTCCTGCACACTAACCGACTAGCATCCTGCATCCTGAATCACATAACCCTAAACCCTAAACCCTTAACCCTAAATCGAGGGCTTAAACATTACGGTCCTACATTAACAAGGCTCAAGGCTCCGGCGAACGTGCCGCTCGCGCAGAGCGCCTGACGCACAGAATCATGGGGAGGATGGCCTGAATATCCAGAATGGGGAGTAGCGGGGGGTAATCTAGGGGCCTGAATAATTAGAAAAGGGTTTTGGGGTATAGCATACTATAGTTATAGTAAGGAACCCCCAAAATATTATAGGTAATTATTAAGGCCCCTATATTAGAAGGACTCTTTAAGGGGATATCATCACCTATCTTTGTCTGCTGTTGGCCTCAACAGCAAGGCTGTAGGGCGAGGGGTGCAGGGTTTACAGAAAACCTTCCAAGCCTACCCTATTTGTTTTAGAGCCCTCATGTAAACCTGCCGTCGAAGGGTTAAAGGCCCCACAAACAAAAAGGTGATGGTAGCTTATGAGAGCCGGACAGAAAACCTGCACATGATTTTAGGGTTTAGGGTTTAGGTTTTTAGGTGTTGGTAGTATCCCTGGCAGAAGGTAGGCTTCAGATGCTTTGTTTTGCTGTTCGTGTGCTTCTGTGGATCCTGACCTTACGATCTCGAGGGCTCCTGACTAGCTCCTTGCTAAGTTCCCTGTATTGCAGGCCAATCCCACAAGGGTCCAAGTACTAATATGGTAG